TCTGGGATTGCGATAGTAAGGTGGTGGGAAAAAGCAATATACGCCATGGATGTACACAAGCGGCGCCTTGCCTTGCTCAGGGAAAGTTGGACTTGGCTTCAGCAGCACCAGGGCGACCAAGCAAAGGGACTCGATCCTAGCCCCGTCTTCTTACATATGCTAGACCGATACCTGAACATGCGGCTGCTACGTGATTCGGAACAATCTGGAGCGGGAAGGCCTCGTCACCAGCATTACCATATTATTAATCCTCTTCCCACTCCTACGGTTGTATCCTTCTTTCCTTTTCAGAATCACATTGCATGTGCGGAGTTAAGTGACAACATGGCATTGGCAGGGTTATTCGTGAAGGCAATCGGCCTCGGGGCAGTCCTTCTCGTCACTCGATACGTTTTGGCTTACTTACAATCCCCACTCAAATCTATTCCCGGTCCCTTCCTAGCCAAATTCTCGGATATCTGGCGTTTCCTGAATCACTATGGGCAAACTCATATTGAGACCCAGAGGAAACTTCATGAACAGCACGGCGATATCGTTCGTCTCGGGCCCAATACCGTCAGCGTTGCCGATGCCAGTCTAATCAAAACTATTTACAATACTCGTGGGACGTACTTGAAGGTAAGCGCATGGAACACGGCTGCCATTTGGAACGACTGCTGACACCATAATAGAGCGATTACTACGTAAGATATGGGCAGTCTCTCTTAGAAGTGGATCATGCTAACCCTCCTTCGGTCTATCAACGACGCCCTTCAAGATGGGCATCTCATTCAAAACATCTTCAGTACGCGTAGCAATGAATTCCACTCCAAGAATGTTAAGCCAGTTCAAAAGCTGTACAGTCTCCAAAATGCTCTTCAGATCGAGAGTATTATGGACGACAACCTCCGTACCCTATGCAGTCAACTGGACGCCCGCTTTGTCGAAGGCGCCAACAAGGACCAGACATGCGATATTGCTGATTGGATCTCATTCTTCGCATGGGACTTCTTGGGTGATATGACCTGGAGCAAGCGTATTGGCTTCATGGAACAGGGTACGGATGTTGGCGATATGCTTGGAACAGCTGAACGCGTGATGCGCTATTTCTCCGTGGTATGTTCTACGTTGAGTCAAAATCTCATCATAATTGTTACGATTGCAAAACTTCTTACTGACAATCGCTAGGTCGGCCAAATGCCTGCCCTCGACAAATGGCTCGGAAAGAACCCTAAGTGGCCACGCTCGCTCTACAAGTTCGATGACTTCTCCGTTGCTGCCGGCTTCTCCGTCGAGCGGTTTGTGGAGCGTATGCAGAATCCTGAACTTGGAAACGGAAAGAAAGACTTTCTAAATGGCTTCCTCGAAGCAAAGAAAGAGTCGCCGGACCTTGTCACCGACAATGAAGTTATTGGATACATGATCATCAACGTGAGTGTTTCGTGGCTGCGCTATGGCGCGAGTAGAACTAACATCGCTCCTGTAGATTCTCGGCGGTGCCGATACCCTTGCCATTGTGATCAAAGGTATCTTCTATCACATCCTCAAGTCATCAGCATCCAAAGAACGCCTCGTCGACGAACTCCTCTCTGCACGTCTCTCCTTCCCTACATCCTATACTGGCATCGAACAGCTACCCTACTTGGATGCATGCATCAAAGAAGGTCTCCGCATGCATCCCGTCGTAGGTCATATTCTCGAGCGCGTCGTCCCTGCAACTGGTCTTACATTGTCCAACGGAACGACATTGCCGCCAGGAACAATTGTTGGGGTGAATCCATGGGTCCTTCATTACAAGGAGAGCATTTTTGGTGCGAAGCCCCATGAGTTCCGTCCGGAACGATGGCTGCAAAGTGAGCACGAAGAGTCCGGCGCGTACGAGGCCAGGATCAAGAAGATGAAAGACGCAGATATGTCGTTCGGAGGAGGCAACAGGATCTGCCTTGGCAAACCTTTGGCACTGGTAGAGGTCTACAAGGTCGTTGCGACGGTATTCGGAAGATACAAGGTACGTTTTGACTTCTTCTGGGTGTGGATGTGAGTGCTAATGTCTCAAAGATTGAGCTTGAGGATCCAAGCAAGGAGTGGGATCTGCACAAACAATGGTTCGTGTGGCCGCATGATATCAAGGTCAAGCTGAGTCCACTTGAAAGCATCAGCGCGCCATGAGTTTCTTCGTGCGGCACGGCACCTAGATGAAAGTGAACGAAGCATGCGACACACCCACACACAGTTTCGATCTTACAATACTACATTACCAAGGGAATCTGCGATGTGTTCATCGTGTATTTGCGATCTTCGCGTGTGGAAGTTTTTGATCAGTGATACTGCGTGCCCCCATAAACTTCGTTAGACATGTGAACATCTCGAATGTATTGTCGCCCTCATTTGAGCATGCTACGATGCGCGGAAGCGATCCAACATCATCGAAATCGTCATCAATCACGCTAACCTCTTCGGTCTTAGGAGCACGGCCCTTCGGCTCTGGCTTCGTTCGCCGCCATTCGTTCTTGCCTCCCAACGTCGCCAACGTGCGTGACTATACATCTTGTGTCTTTTCAGTTGCTTACGAAATCTTCACGTGGCCGAGATGGTACGATTGTCGGGACTTCAGAAAGACGTCTTGTCTCTCTACCGACAATGCCTAAGAGCTGTGAAGCAGAAACCAACGGTATGTCAATTACAACACTATGATTACGAACACCTACTCACGCAGTCATAGGAGACGCAGTCGCATTTCCGGGACTTTGCAAGGTGCGATCAAGTCAAATGAACGGCCTGCTGCGACAGCTGACGAGTAGCTCCAGATCCGAGTTCCATAAGCACCGGGATGTCGGCAAGAAGGACTTCAGTACTATCGAATATCTGCTTCGAAGAGGAAGAAATCAGCTAGAGACGTGGTCTGAGCCAGGCATCCGAGACATCCACAGGTAGCGGGGGAATGCAGGATCAAGGAACGAGGAACGAAGCGGCGCACCAGTGAGCGAGCACCCAACGTCACCGTGATACAACCTGTTAGATGAACATCACGCAATACATGACCGAATTGCGGGGTACACGGGCCTTGTGCAGCAGATGTCTCACATGTCGCTCCCAAGGCGTTGGATACTTCGAGCGCGGACATCACGTGATACGGTCTGAGCCACCACCCCGAACTTTCTAGTGCCAACTCGCCCCTCGCCGAAACAGGATCAACCAGGAGCTCGCCATGATAGTTTCCCCCGGCAAGAGCTGGAAGCTTCTCATCTCACGATCTCGTCTGATCGCGTACGACAACATGACGACAAACGTCGTGTTCGAAAGCTCTAGAAACTCCCCGAGCCATCTCCGAGGCTTCTCGCAGCATCGTCGTCGACGTAACACCAATGCCTCTCCGCAGTGCGATCATTCCAGAGACTCATCTCTCGGGTATATATAGCCCTCGAGGCGTCTCTCAAAGCTCATCATCAGAACAACAAATAACGAATCTTCTATGCAATCAATCCGCTCTACAATCCAACGAGTTCCTCGACAACTCAACCGCATTACCAAGCCTACGATCACAACCACTCGACACTTTTCCAACGCACCAGCAACAATGTCTCTCTTCCCACGATTCACTCAGGAATTCGCTCCTATCTTCCGTCTCTTCGACGAGTACGATAGGCAAGCCTTCCGCAACCTCGACCGCGAATTCACCAACGTCCGGTCCTTCACCCCCAAGTTCGATGTGAAGGAAACCAAGGAGGGCTACGAACTCCACGGAGAACTCCCCGGTGTCGAGCAAAAGGACATCAACATCGAATGGACCGACAACAACACGCTGACCATCTCGGGCCGCCACGAGCACGTCCGCGAGGAAGGTCAACGCCCTCAGGGCTTCATCGAGAACGGTGAAGCTTCACAGCAGAAGAAGCTTCAGCCCAAGGTTGAGGATGACCCCAGCGAATCCAACAAGGTCGCCAAGCAGTCCGAGAACAAGGACGTCTCCAAGCACGACGAGAACAAGGCCAAGTACTGGGTCAGCGAGCGTTCAGTCGGAGAATTCCACCGCTCCTTCGCCTTCCCCGCTCGCGTCGACCAGGAAGCCGTCAAGGCTTCTCTCAAGAACGGTATCTTGAGCATCCTTGTTCCCAAGGCCCAGGCTCCTCAGCCCCGTAAGATCAGCATTGAGTAGATCGAAGCGGTTCGACTGAACGACTACGAACGACGATGAATGACGACTTCTCTCCTTTATTGAATCAGCGAGCGCGGCATGGCAATGGAGTTTGCGATGGGTTATTGTAGTGTTTTGGGTTAGTTCTGTGCTTGTAGTGGTGGCAGCATTCACTCTCTTAGTCGGACAGTGGTATTAGGAGTTTGTATGTAGCTAATCGCAATGTAACAAGTTTACATTACCCCCCGTGCCGGTTTCAGTGATGGTCTGGTTGGTCTTCGGCACAGTCTCCTCGGTATCCATCCAATTCCAAGTGTCCTCTGGTTCGATGTCTTCGGTCTTGGTAACAGCAACCACGGGTTGAGATAGTGCTAGACCGACCGGATCGTCGCTGAGATCGACACGGGGTTTATCGAACTCATCGCTTTTTGCCATCCAATGCTGATGGTGATGTTTCATTGATCTTTGAGATACTCTAAGTGTTCAAATCGTGAGACAATGAACTGAATTTCATGCTAGGCGGATCGCGCGTGATGTTTTGCTGTCTTTTGTGCTACATGATGTGCTAACGTGTGCCGAGGGGAGCCATTGTGAGACGCGTGGGCATCGAATTCCACAACTACTACCACTACCTTATTCAAAACGACTTCACTCTTGTATCCTTGACGAAGCATAGCCATTCCCTCAAGCCTTGTACTACACGCAAAAATGCGCACCTGCTACAAGCGCAGGCAAAAAACAATCGCTATGCGTCGCACCTTCCCTCGTCATGGGTCCAAGACGACCCATAAGCAAAAAAGAATGATCATCTCGCAATTGTGGAGAAGGATGTTATGCATCCTCCGGGAGCTGGAAAGGCTGTTAGAATGGTGCTGGTAGTGTGGAAGTGGGATAGAACGTACTCGAACCCGGGCCAATTGCTTGGAAGGCAATTATCCTACCGTTGGACCAAGAATGCTTGATGAAGGTTTGCCAAACGTAGACCAATATGGACTACGTGTTTTTTTGATGCGTGCATCTCGAGCAGCTGCCTGCTCAGCAGTGCTTGTGATACTAACGGTCTAAAGCTACAGATACGAGACTGTGGATAAGGTCATGCGAGACTTAGCGCCGAACTACTCACTACATCGTTTAGACCGCGACCCACAACTTGTCCAGTCTGGTAACAAAGGTTCAGGGTCCGCAAATGCGCGGTAAACATGCGGGACTTGATAGCAAACTTCATGGTAAAATTTCGCAATGCAGAGCTTGTTGGACACGGGAAACACGGGAGCTTCTGATTCTATAGTAGTCGGTCACAAATCCAAAGAGCGGACCGTCCAGCGAGTATACTAAAAGCTTTCTATATGGTCCTCATCTATCGCATGCACATGTTGCGCAGAAAATGTAGACCAGTTTATGCCTCCATAACCCATGCGCCATGCGTCGCTCAATCACCCGTTCTCGAGTTCTCGATCTTTGTTACGATGAGATCGGTGGCCCCGACCTCCGTCAATTTGTCCATGGCAATAGCGATATCTTTCCTTAGCACCATAGCCTGTACAGCCACCCAGCCATCCTCTTCCAACGCGTTGACGGTGGGGGCGCGACGTCCGGGAGTGATCTTGCGCGCGATATCGAGTTTCGATCGGTCGATGTTGTATGTGCACAGAACGTACTTTTGTGCAGCTGCGAGAAATTAGTTCTGCTAATGAATGCGGAAGTCGATGTGACTTACTGATGACACCCTTTATCCGAGCGGTGATCAGCTCAACCAGTTTGGGATCTGATGGGTGCTTTGACTTGATGAGGATGGCGCTGGAATCAACGACTGTGGAGATGGCCTTGAGGCCTGCAGCGCGCATCGTCTCTCCTGACTCCACCAAATCGACGATACCGTCCGCCACACCCAATGCGCATGCCGCTTCAACACTACCGCCGACGTATTTGATGACTGTCTTGAGTTTCGCATCGCCGTTGGCTTCGCCGTTTGTGTTTCCAGCTTGCTCGGCCTCGAGTTTCCGGAAGTACTGCTCAGCCAGGTTGGTGAAGCTGGTAACAACATTCTTGCCGATCAAGTCCTCTGGCTTGGCTAGGTCGCCCTTCGCGGGGACTTGTACCTGCAGACTGCATTTTCCAAACCCGAGATCGAGAACCTCCTCCACGCCGCTGGTGGCAGTCGGTGGTGCAACGCACTCGTGTTCTGCGACTTGATCGCGCCCGGTTATGCCCAAGTCTACGCGACCTTCTCCTACGAAAGTCGGGATATCAGCGGCGGGTAAGAAGACGAGAGCGAGAGGGTGGTTCTTGACGAGTGCGATATCGAGACGGGAGTGTCGGTGGAACTGAATGTCCGAACCGTGGAGGAGGTCAAGACATGCTTGGTGGAGGCGGCCCTCTGCGATGGTTATTAGCCTATGAGTCCAGCCAGTATTAATGTAGGCGACGTACTCTTAGGCACCGCAAAGAGGAGACGGTCGTTCAAGCTGTTTCCCAAAAGGTCAGTCATGAAAGGAAGACTCCTGCTGCCCTGGCGCGCTCTTTGCGCGATGCGCTCGATTTCACTTGCGCCTTCATTTCCGTTGGTGTACCCCATGGTCATACAAGAAGCTTATCAGAAGAAGGAAAAAGAATGGGGAAAAGAAACAATCAAAACATACGAGTTGACGAGATCCATGGCTATGAATCAAGCACGCAATTGCTAGGGTTTGTAGTATGCAGACGCGCGCTGTGCACCCTCTAACAAAGACTTGAATGGGGAATTCTGCTACGGGCTAGGCCACGAGTCCCACGTCGGCACTTGCAATTGGATGCGGGCTTGCTGCCGTGGAGAGGGCTAAATGCGCGGGCGGCGTCAGACCAGATATGTGGGCTCGAGTGGGTGGATGTGTGTGTCGTTTTGTAGTGTACAAGATTGAGGCGCGTCTCGAATGAGTGACTCAATGAGGGGTAAGAGCTGCACGTGTAATGCGACAATGGCTGTGAACCCTCAAAAGCAAAGTAACTGAACGCGCATATCGATGGTATCGGGCTTAGGAATTCTCTGGTTCACATCATCCCAATTGGTGCAGGAAATTTGGTAGCCGTGACTGACTGGCGCGTTCAATTTTTTTGGCGGGATGACGTTCCATCAACATATGTTGCCCCGCGTTGCGATGCGTCGGAGTTTGACGAAGCGGCATTGGCCGGCACCAACTCAATCTCAAGATGGCTCACTATCGTGTCTGGACTGCGGGCTGACGATAGTACATCCAGTTTCTGCGATCACCGCTGGTGGAAGAGAGTTGATACACGCTTCACTACACTATTGTTGTGTCGTTCATCTGGAATGTTTCAACATTGGGTGGGAGGAAGTACCAGATTGTAAGAATCAGACATCTACTCTCTACGCGTGCCTATCTATAATGCACTACATATGCACTAAACCTATGCCGCTTCATCTCGAAGCACAACCGCGAAACAGAGACGTCAAGCGCAAGACGCCATGCACGTATGTTTCCCTTTTTATCCTTCATGAAATGACCAACCGCGACTCCAAACTGAATGATGAGGAATGAACTCCAATATGAAAGGCATATGCATAGGAAGCCTCGTCGTGCCTCACATGAAGTCGTCACTATAATCTGTTAGCATCTGTGAAAGCCAGACAGGCTCAAACATGACTTACTCGCCGAAGTCGTCGTCATCGTATGCCCTGGTATCTGCCCTGACGCCGACGTCTCTGCTCGCGTTAAGTGTGGTCTTGGTCTTTGCAGCCTTGCTCTTCTTTCCACCCTTCTCAGCAGCCTTCTCCTCCTTCATCTTCTCGTTGCTCAGTGTCGTCAGGCCAGATGCAATCTTCTTAATCTGCTCACTCGGCAGATCTTTAGCAATCTGCTTGGTGAACTCTTGTAGGAACAGCGAGTACTGGCCCTTCTTAGAGTTGCCAGCAATCAGAGGTGTGAGAGTTTCCCGGAGCTTAGTAAACTGGTCCTTGGTGTTGGGGTTGAAAAGAGCGAGGGAGGAAAGGTCGATGGCGTTGCCCGGGTCGGACTCGTCGGCAATAGTGATGGCTTTGCCAGTACGGGCCTTGGGGGCGACGCTCAGGTCGCCAAAGAGTTCCTCAGCTTGGGCGCGCGAAGCGTCGAGTTCTGCCTGGCGCATTCGTTCGCGGCGTTCAGCCTCAGTCTCTTCTTCGTCGGTCTCGCCATCCTCTTCCATCTGCCGCCGACGTAGCGCGGCCTGCCTGTGCTCCTCGATCCTTTGCGCCTTGGACTTGTGGTTTGCCTTTGCCTCTGCGTCCGCCTTAGCCTTTGCCTCGGCGGCCTTCTTTGCCTTCTCGCGTTCGACTTCGGAATCCTCGGCGGCGTCCCATGAATCTAGTACCTATTATGTCCAATGTCAGTACATTTGGTCGTGGCGGGGCTTGAAGTATTCAAGCGCGGGGCATGGTGGGCTGACGCACATCGTCGTCTTCTTCTTCATCGTCGAACTTGCTGCGGCGCGCGATGGGAGCCACCTGTGGGGATGTGGGAGGAGTGCTACCCTCATCCTCGTCGTCTGCAGAACATGTCAGTCCCAAGTTTTTGCATGACCATCTTGAACCGCGCGCAGTGGCAGCGAACATGACGTACCCCACTTTCCTGGTGCCATGGTTGCAGTTGTTTGTGAAAAGGTATGGGCTGTGTGTTGTTGGGAGTAATGTATCCAAGGGTTCCGACGGCGGCGCAGGGTTTTATGGGCGAGTGGTGTGGGTGAAGGAAATGATCAAAGGTTGACTACGGCGCAAGACAATGGTTGGGCTTCTGCAGGTGTCGCGCGTGGCTCGCTTGATCTACCAAAAATTAACTGCCCAATCACACATGGTACGCCACATTCACTCTTTACCTGCACACCTCGATCCACTACGGTCCTGTGTTTATTGTAGGTGAAATGCAGGCTGGAACTGGCAGTACAATGAACTAATGCATGAGGAACTTTGAGATTCCATTATTGCTGTCCTGCTCACGCTAGGCCATGCTTCGGCCGCAGGCGCCTTGCAGCCACATTGTATCAGCCATCTCATATCTACAAGACATTACTTCTTTAGCCTTTTCCTTGACGCCTGTCAAGGGTTCAAGTGCAATGAAATCCCTATATCTAGCTAAACAACAAAGAAACAAGAACAGAAGATGAAACTCGAACCCAACCAGGACATTGCCAGAACATGTTGGAAGCAGACGAGTTGTTTGGAACAAAAGACCCGAGTTTACTACTCGGGAACCTCCCAGGGCCTCCAGAATTTCCAACCCTCTCTAACCTCTCTGGGGCCCTTGCGTTTCGAGCTGGACACGCCGACCAGTCTTTCGATACCAACTGTGCCCTCGGCCCGAAGGAATTTCTCTTGGTCAATCTCCTCTCCGCCTTCCTCTTCATTCCCATTGTGTAGGACAGCAGGCCAAAGTACACCTACTCCGTCACCAGCAAGCGTCGTCTCGAACTTCTCGAAGCCTTCCTTCTCTAGTTTGACCTCAAGAGAGTCGAGAATCTTGTACTTCAGCTTTGTGCCGTTGGATATTACGGATGCGGCGCCGCCCCCGTCCGCTTCGGAAGAGGCGTCAGATTCGTCTGATGAGGTATCGTGGTGCGCGCCATTCGCATGACCGTTAGTGAGGGCTGGTGGTTGGGGCTTAAGGATAGTAATAGCGCATCCTCCGCCTCCTGCACCTGTAAGTTTTGTCCAGCCGATGCCCGTATGATCGATAATCTCGCGGATGCGCTCAAGTTTGGGATGCGAGACGCCCAAGGAGACAAGTAGACCGTGGTTCATCGTGACGAGCTCACCGAGGTGCCTTAGTGAGTCCGGAGATGTTTCATCGAAATCGGGAGATGTGAGTAGTTTATGTGCAGATTCCGTCACTAGGCCAATAGCATTGAGGATGTTTTCTGTGAGATCGGGATGCACCTTGAGAAGGTTGGCCACCTTGGCGACTTCTGTTGCCGTACTGCGCGAC